CATTTTCTTTCGATTATGGAGGCTACAGATCACGGAATCATGCCGAGGCTATTCTCCATCGATAATGAAGTCTATTGATCCTATTCTCCACGGATGAGGAGTCCGTTAAGCATCGATTTGGGCCAATTTATTTTCGGATGGCATTTTCGTAATTTCTTAGGCGACGAAAAGCCATTTTCTTTGGATATTGAAGGCTACAAATCACGGATTCGGCCTGAGGCTATTCTCCAACGATGATTGAGTCCATTAAGCACCGATTTGGGCGAATTTATTCCTGGGCAATTTTTGCCAGATTCCAAAGGGGTACCATCACAGATTTCGGACGATTTATCCGAAATGCCATTTTCTTTCGATTCTGGAGGCTACAGATCACGGAATCAGGCCGAGGCTATTCTCCACCGATAATGAAGTCTATTGATCCTATTCTCCACGTATGATAAGTCCGTTAAGCATCCATTTGGGCCAATTTATTTTCGGATGGCATTTTCGTAATTTCTTGGGCGACGAAAGGCCATTTTCTTTGGATATTGAAGGCTAGAGATCACGGATTCGACCTTATGCTATTCTCCAACGATGATTGAGTCCATTAAGCACCGATTTGGGCGGATTTATTCCGAGTCAATTTTTGGCAGATTCCAAAGGGGTACCATCACAGATTTCGGGCGATTTATCCGAAATGCCATTTTCTTTCGATTATGGAGGCTACAGATCACGGAATCAGGCCGAGGCTATTCTTCATCGATAATGAAGTCTATTGATCCTATTCTCCACGGATGAGGAGTCCGTTAAGCATCGATTTGGGCCAATTTATTTTCGGATGGCATTTTCGTAATTTCTTGGGCGACGAAAGGCCATTTTCTTTGTATATTGAAGGCTAGAGGTCACGGATTCGGCCTGATGCTATTCCCCAACGATGATTGAGTCCATTAAGCACCGATTTAGGCGGATTTATTCCGGGTCAATTTTTGGCAGATTCAAAAGGGGTACCATCACAGATTTCGGGCGATTTATCTGAAATGTCATTTTCTTTCGATTCTGGTGGCTACAGATCATGGAATCAGACCGAGGCTATTCTACACCGATAATGAATTCTATTGATCCTATTCTCCACAGATTATTAGTCCGTTAAGCATCGATTTGGGCCAATTTATTTTCGGATGCCATTTTCGTAATTTCTTGGGCGACGAAAGGCCATTTTCTTTGGATATTGAAGACTACGGATCACGGATTAGGCCTGAGGTTATTCTCCAACGATGATTGAGTCCATTAAGCACTGATTTGGGTGAATTTATTCCGGGTCAATTTTTGGCAGATTCCAAAGGGGTACCATCACAGATTTCGGGCGATTTATCTGAAATGTCATTTTCTTTCGATTCTGGTGGCTACAGATCACGGAATCAGACCGAGGCAATTCTACACCGATAATGAATTCTATTGATCCTATTCTCCACGGATGAGGAGTCCGTTAAGCATCGATTTGGGCCAATTTATTTTCGGATGGCATTTTCGTAATTTCTTGGGCGACGAAAGGCCATTTTCTTTGGATATTGAAGGCTACAGATCACGGATTCGGCCTGAGGCTATTCTCCAACGATGATTGAGTCCATTAAGCACCGATTTGGGCGAATTTATTCCTGGGCAATTTTTGCCAGATTCCAAAGGGGTACCATCACAGATTTCGGACGATTTATCCGAAATGCCATTTTCTTTCGATTCTGGAGGCTACAGATCACGGAATCAGGCCGAGGCTATTCTCCACCGATAATGAAGTCTATTGATCCTATTCTCCACGTATGATAAGTCCGTTAAGCATCCATTTGGGCCAATTTATTTTCGGATGGTATTTTCGTAATTTCTTGGGCGACGAAAGGCCATTTTCTTTAGATATTGAAGGCTACAGATCACGGATTCGGCCTGAGGCTATTCTCCAATGATGATTGAGTCCATTAAGCACCGATTTGGGCGGATTTATTCCTGGTTAATTTTTGGCAGATTCCAAAGGGGTACCATCACAGATTTCGGGCGATTTATCCGAAATGCCATTTTCTTTCGATTATGGAGGCTACAGATCACGGAATCATGCCGAGGCTATTCTCCATCGATAATGAAGTCTATTGATCCTATTCTCCACGGATGAGGAGTCCGTTAAGCATCGATTTGGCCCAATTTATTTTCGGATGGCATTTTCGTAATTTCTTGGGCGACGAAAGGCCATTTTCTTTGGATATTGAAGGCTAGAGATCACGGATTCGACCTGATGCTATTCTCCAACGATGATTGAGTCCATTAAGCACCGATTTGGGCGGATTTATTCCGAGTCAATTTTTGGCAGATTCCAAAGGGGTACCATCACAGATTTCGGGCGATTTATCCGAAATGCCATTTTCTTTCGATTCTGGAGGCTACAGATCACGGAATCAGGCCGAGGCTATTCTCCACCGATAATGAAGTCTATTGATCCTATTCTCCACGGATGATAAGTCTGTTAAGCATCGATTTGGGCCAATTTATTTTTGGATGGCATTTTCGTAATTTCTTGGGCGACGAAAGGCCATTTTCTTTCGATATTGAAGGCTACACATCACGGATTCGGTCTGAGGCTATTCTCCAACGATGATTGAGTCCACTAAGCACCGATTTGGGCGGATTTATTGTGGGTCAATTTTTGGCAGATTCCAAAGGGGTACCATCACAGATTTCGGGCGATTTATCCGAAATGCCATTTTCTTTCGATTCTGGAGGCTACAGATCACGGAATCAGGCCGAGGCTATTCTCCACCGATAATGAAGTCTATTGATCCTATTCTCCACGGATGATAAGTCCGTTAAGCATCGATTTGGGCCAATTTATTTTTGGATGGCATTTTCGTAATTTCTTGTGCGACGAAAGGCCATTTTCTTTCGATATTGAAGGCTACACATCACGGATTCGGTCTGAGGCTATTCTCCAACGATGATTGAGTCCACTAAGCACCGATTTGGGCGGATTTATTGCGGGTCAATTTTTGGCAGATTCCAAAGGGGTACCATCACAGATTTCAGGAGATTTATCTGAAATGCCATTTTCTTTCGATTCTGGAGGCTACAGATCACGGAATCACGCCGAGGCTATTCTCCACCGATACTGAAGTCTATTGATCCTATTCTCCACGGATGCAAATATCGTTAAGCATCGATTTGGGCCAATTTATTTTCGGATGGCATTTTCGTAATTTCTTGGGCGACGAAAGGCCATTTTCTTTGGATATTGAAGGCTACAGATCACGGATTTGGCCTGAGGTTATTCTCCAACGATGATTGAGTCCATTAAGCACCGATTTGGGCGGATTTATTCCGGGTCAATTTTTTGCAGATTCCTAAGTGGTACGATCACAGATTTCGGGCGATTTATCCGAAATGCCATTTTCTTTCGATTCTTGAGGCTACAGATCATGGAATCAGGCCGAGGCTGTTCTCCACCGATAATGAAATCTATTGAACCTATTCTCCAAGAATGATAAGTCCATTAAGCATCAATTTGGGCCAATTTATTTTCGGATGGCATTTTCTTAATTTCTTAGGCGACGAAGGGCCATTTTCTTTGGATATTGAAGGCTACAGATCACGGATTCGGCCTGAGGCTATTCTCCAACGATGATTGAGTCCATTAAGCACCGATTTGGGCAGATTTATTCCGGGTCAATTTTTGGCAGATCCCAAAGGGGTACCATCACAGATTTCGGGCAATTTATCTGAAATGCCATTTTCTTTCGATTCTGGTGGCTACAGATCACGGAATCAGACCGAGGCTATTCTACACCGATAATGAATTCTATTGATCCTATTCTCCACAGATGATTAGTCCGTTAAGCATCGATTTGGGCCAATTTATTTTCGGATGGCATTTTCGTAATTTCTTGGGCGACGAAAGGCCATTTCTTTGGATATTGAAGACTACAGATCACAGATTCGGCCTGAGGTTATTCTCCAACGATGATTGAGTCCATTAAGCACTGATTTTTGTGGATTTATTCCGGGTCAATTTTTGGCAGGTTCCAAAGGGGTATCATCACAGATTTCGGGCGATTTATCCGAAATGCCATTTTCTTTCGATTCTGGAGGCTACAGATCACGGAACCATGCCGAGGCTATTGTCCACTATTAATGAAGTCTATTGATCCTATTCTCCACGGATGATAAGTCCGTTAAGCATTGATTTGGGCCAATTTATTTTCGGATGGCATTTTCGTAATTTCTTGGGCGACAAAAGGCCATTTTCTTTAGATATTGAAGGCTACAGATCAAGGATTCGGCCAGAGGCTATTCTCCAACGATGATTGAGTCCATTAAGCACCGATTTGGGAGGATTTATTCCGGGTCAATTTTTGGCAGATTCCAAAGGGGTACTATCATAGATTTTGGGCGATTTATCCGAAATGCCATTTTCTTTCGATTCAGGAGGCTACAGATCACGTAATCAGGCCGAGGCTATTCTTCACCGATAATGAAGTCTATTGATCCTATTCTCCACGGATGATAAGTCCGTTAATCAAGGTCCTTTCGACCGAACCGAATTTCCGAATTCCGAACTGAATTTCCGAATTAATATAATTGCAAGTTCCAAATGGTGGATTTTTATGTTTGTACTTATTATGAGACTTAAATATTTGAATTATGTTAGTGTTTTATGACTTATGTGTTGAAATGTTTGATTTTATAATTGATAATGCATTTAATTGCATATTTATTGTTTGTGAAAAATTATTTAAAAGAGAAAAAATACAAACTAACCTCACAAGTTCGGTTTTTCATACAAAACCGAACCGAATTATAATTCGGTTTGAACCGACCGAACCAAATTATAATTCGGTTCGAATTCGGTTTGAGATTTAATGGAACTCGGAAACCCGTATACATTATTTCGGTGTAATGTGAATCTCAAAATAACGGTACCAAATTCCCATCCTTCGGTTCCACTGAATTTGAGTAGAACGGCACCGTGTCACCTGGTTCCACGGATAGCCAGTTAGCCACGTTCTTCAAACCCTAGTAAGCTAAGCAGTATCCAACCAGTAAAACCACTCCTCCACTGCATTGCTCTACTCCAACAGTGAACTTCCCGCATATCCCCAAAACCTTACGAGTTACGCCAAGTTTCACAACTCGGTCGAGTTTGAGGTTCCTCTGTTCAATTCGCTTCCCCCATGGCCGAGTTATCGGCTGAAGTTGCAACCGACATCCACGATGCACCACCTGAATATCCTCCCGCGCCGCCGTCCGACGGCGGAGGAGCTCCCACACCAGCTGCTGCGACGCCCGAGGAGTTGGCGGCCAAAGGAGTTGCTCCGGTGAAAGCCGACTTCCTGTGTCCTCCTCCTCCTTCCAGGACCTCCCAAACTGCTGCTAATAACTCTGCGTCGACCGCCGTGGCGGCTCCTCCGTCCGGCGTGCTGAAGCAAGGGAAGTCTAAGCGCCAATTTAAGCGCGAACGGCAGCAGGTTTTTGCTCTCTCTCTCTCTTTGTCTCAGCAATCCTAATTTTTTAGGTTTATGGAAATGAATTGAGAAGTGAGGAAAATGCAAAATCCGCAGGAGCAAAAGACGTCTCATCTCTGCCCAGTGATAGCGAAGAGTGGCGATGTTAGTTCTTGCAAGTTCGGCGATGGCTGCCGATTCAGCCATGACTTGGAGGGTTTCAAGGCTCAGGTACTCATAGAATTTCAGTTGCTGTCTGTAAAATCTTTACAAGTTGTTTGGTTCTCGAGAAAATTGGCAATGCAAGTGGAGGAAATTGAATGCAATTGAATATATCACTACTGTTTGATTTTGGATCCTTGGTGAACTGAATTCTGAGTTTGACGCTAAGCTATCTATGTATGAACTGCTAGAGACAGGATGATCTGGATGGAGAATGTCCTTTCATAAGCGATGAAGGGAGGTGCCCTTATGGCCTGGCATGTAGGTTTTATGGCACGCACAAGGAAGCTGTTGCTGGTGATAATAGCTTGATTGTACCCAAGAAAAATTTCTCCGAGACAAATGAATTGACCAAGGATGTTCAAAGGCTTTTGTGGAAGAACAATATGAAATTTCCTAAAGCAGATGCCAAACTGAAAGCTCTTGGCCTCATGGTAATCTCTAGTTCTTTTTCTTTTTTCCTAATTATCTCTAGTAATTGCTATCATTTGTTAACTGCTACGGGTTTGCAATGATATTGATTTACATCATTACTTCATAATTATGTAGGGACCTGGTGTGAAAGGGAAAAAGCCGGATAAGGAGGAAGGTAGTGAGTGTGCTGTTAGTAATCACGAGGCAAATGAGAATGGTTGCAGTAATGGGGTTGATGCGAAAGCTGACAACCTGAATGGCGCTGGAGAAGAGGCTCCGCAAGAGAATAACGTGGTAGATGAACTCAGGCCATCAAAAAAAGCAAAACCAGATGTGGCTGAGCTAGGTATTTGTGGTTTAATGTTATAGTTTAGTTCTGTGGTAATTACTATGTGTGTGGAAAAGAAGGTAAAGAGACACTATTCTGCTATAATGTGATGCATATAGGATCAAATAGTCCGGGAAACGAAGTTGATCAAAATATCCTGGATAAGCAGCCAGAGGCTGCAAGTCAAGATCATCTATCTGTAGAGACAGATGGAAGTTTGAAATCACACCCACGTGAAAAAAAGCTCGTTGACTTCAGTGGAAAGCTATATCTTGCACCATTGACTACTGTTGGAAATCTTCCCTTCCGAAGGCTTTGCAAAGCATTGGGAGCTGACATTACTTGTGGTGAAATGGCAATGTGCACAAATCTGTTACAGGTCTTTATCTTTTTGGTTTTCTACAGCATGTGATAGAAATCGAGTGATATACACCCAACTTCTTGTCCTTTGCTGTGAATGGGATTCTGAATATTTTAAACACTTGATTGCTCAGGGTCAAGCTGCGGAATGGGCATTGTTGAGACGCCATTCGTCTGAGGATCTATTTGGTGTACAAATTTGTGGTGCATATGCGGATACAGTAACACGTGCTGTTGAGCTCATAGACCGAGAATGTACAGTGGACTTCATTGATATAAACATGGGCTGCCCCATCGAACTTGTTGTGAGCAAAGGTGCTGGCTCTGCTCTCCTCAATAAGCCAACCCGTATGAAAGGCATTATAGAAGCTGCGAGTAGCACAGTAGAAACACCCATCACCGTGAAGGTAAAAAATCTTTTTCACTCTTCTGTTGTTCATACATAAATGGTGAAAGTGGTTCTGATTCAACTTCAACGAGCTAAGCTACAAGACTTTATATGCCATTCTTCTACTACTATTACTACAGGTTAGAACTGGATACCTGGAGGGGAAAAACAAGGTCGACTCTTTAATTGCTGATATTGGAAACTGGGGAGCCACTGCCATAACGGTTCATGGTCGAACAAGACAGCAACGTTATAGCAAATCTGCAGACTGGGAATACATATACCAGTGTGCTAGAAACGCCCCCGAATCACTGCAAGTGCTAGGAAATGGAGATATATCTGCATACACTGATTGGAACATCCATAAAGCTAGCTGCCCCGAACTCTCTTCATGTATGATAGGCAGAGGTGCACTGACCAAGGTTTGTGATGACACCCGTCTCTTACTAATACAGTATTCCTAGTATCATTCTGGAATTACGAACGAGTTAATTTTTTGCTTGTTGGCAGCCATGGATATTCACTGAAATCAAAGAACAGAGGCACTGGGACATCAGCTCTGGAGAACGACTCGATATCTTGAAGGATTATGTCCGGTTTGGCCTTCAGCATTGGGGATCGGACACAAAGGGTGTGTTTGTTTTAACTTTAGATAGAAAACCTGAACTTTTCTTTCAAGCATTCAGTAAACGTGCGTCTAGTCTAGTTACAATTTTTTCTACTTCGTCACAGTGACCTATATATGCTTTGTAAACCTTTACAGGAGTGGAAACGACTAGGCATTTCCTGCTGGAATGGCTGAGCTATACATTCAGATATATACCGGTCGGTCTTCTGGAGATCCTTCCACAGCGGCTAAACTGGCGACCACCCTCTTATTTTGGACGCAACGATCTCGAGACGCTCATGGCCTCTGAATCTGCAGCTGATTGGGTAAATATCAATGTCTTTTTGCTATATGAATCTCTGGATAGTACTATTATTAACCAGTTTTACTACATATTTTCGCAGATTCGAATCTCTGAAATGCTGCTTGGCAAAGTTCCGACTGGCTTTACGTTCTCACCCAAACACAAATCAAACTCCTACGACCGAGCGGAGAATGGCTAATGGCTGCTTCCGTGCCTCAGGAAGTTTCATTACTTGTATAACAAGCTACTGCCGATCCCCCCCAGAACTGGGAACTTCACTTGAATGTTAGAGCCACAGATTTTACAGTACTGCTAATAGCTATCATCAGAATTTCCAGAAGAGATGTGATTGGCCAACTTATCCTATTGTTCTCTTCGTCCGATTTTGCCAATTTTTGCTAAACGAAAGCTCGAGGCTAATCGACAATCATGATAGCAGAAGTTTATCTATGCTTTGATGCCTGTTACACAACTGAGCAATTTGGCACAACCGTACGCATTGCTATCCTCGAAATTAAGGCGTAAAACTTTCGAGAAATTAGTTACATGAGAGTTCAAACATCTGTAGAAACTTGAACATCAAACAAGAATGTTAAAATCTATCATTAATCATCATCATCTGCAGCATCATCTGTATCATTATGACATTATCATCTGCTATCAAATTCAAAAAGACTCAAATCATAAAACATTACTCGAATTCAAAGCCCTGCAATAACCCAAAAAAGGAAAACAAAATTGTGTAGGTTTTGAGACTGCAACCTGGAGCTAGCTTAAAGAAACCACATAACACAAACTAAAAGGTCATCACTTCTGAAAGACATCTACCAGAGCTAAAATCATAACACCACTCCTACTAATGGCTGGTTGCTGTGTTCTTTCTATGACCCGCGGAGAGAAAAACATTAACCGGCTAATGGAGCCACCAACTCGCTGTCATCGTCGACCGGCGGACCTTGAACCCACCCACCTTGAATGCTATCAATGCTACCACTCAAACCATCATCCACAAAATCCCCAACTCGCTTCACTATCACTTCCTTAGGCAGCACAGGGTAGTTCCCTGAGAAACAAGCGTAACAGAAGTCAGGCGAATCCTGCCCCAGCATCTTCTTCAAGCTATCGAACTCCAAAAACGCCAACGAATCACACCCAATGTAATCCCTGATCTCCTCCACGCTCATCCTGTTAGATATCAACTCCTCAGGGCTAGCAGTATCAACACCGTAGTAACACGAAGCAATCATGGGGGGGCTAGCGATCCTCATGTGGACTTCCTTAGCTCCAGCTTCCTTGAGCATCCTAACAATCTTCGATGAAGTCGTCCCTCTCACGATCGAATCGTCCACCACCACAACCCTCTTCCCTTCCAGTATCTGCTTCACCGGGGAAAGCTTCAGCTTCACCCCGAAATCCCTGATCTTCTGAGACGGCTCGATGAATGTCCTGCCAACGTAATGTGACCGAATCAAGCCCTGCTGAAATGGCACCCCTGCTTTCGCTGCATAGCCCAGAGCAGCCACGACTCCAGAATCCGGAACTGCAATCACCACGTCACAATCGACCCCCGATTCTGTGGCGAGTATCTCTCCGAACTGGCGCCTGGACTCGTAGACAGACCTTCCATACACTACAGACTGCGGCAGGGAAAAGTAGATGTGCTCGAATATGCACTGCTTCGGCTCGCGATGACCCAAAAGGCAGAGCGATGTGATCCCTTCATGGTCCACAACTACAACCTCTCCCGGATTCACTTCCCTCTCGTATGTGGCATCTATCAAATCGAGAGCGCAAGTTTCAGAAGCAAACACCACAGCGCCATTGCTTTTCCTCCCCATTACCAATGGCCTAAACCCATAAGGATCCCTAACAGCAACCAGCTTATCCTCCGTCACAAAAACCATGGAATAAGCTCCTTCGAGCTTCTCGCAAGCGTCGACGATTCTGGCAATGAAGGGCCTCGCCTTGGAGATAGCAATCAAATGCAGAACCGCTTCAGTATCAGAGCTAGTGTTGAAAATCGAACCACTATCTTCCAGCTCCGCTCGCAGTTTCCTGTAATTCACCAGATTACCATTGTGCGCAACCCCAACAAACCCGAATCGATACCCGGCGACAAAAGGCTGCACATTTTTCAACATGGAAGCTCCGGCGGTGGAATACCTAACATGCCCGATGGCCAAATCGCCGGGCAATTGATTGATTTTGGACTCGTTAAACACATCGGTGACCAACCCAACACCAGTAACAGACTGAAATACCTTGTCCTTTACCGCTACGATGCCGGCGCCTTCCTGGCCGCGATGCTGGAGGGCGTGGAGGCCCAGATAGCAGAGCCGGGAAGCTTCAGGGTCGCCGTAGACGCCCACCACACCGCACTCCTCGCGGGGCTTGTCGTCGAGTTCGTCGTAGTAGCAGTGGTCGTCATCTGCGCCGTCTCCAACGGGGAAATCTCCGCTCCGGGGAGAAGCCGAGATGGCACGGGAGAGGCTCCGAGCCGCGGCGGCGGCGGAAAAGGGTTTATGGAGGGGTTTGGAGGTTGGGGGAAGGAAGAGATTGGGTTTCTGAGGAAAAGGGCATTTGGAGGTGGAGGGAGAGGAAGGTTTGGAGAGGGAGGAGACGTTGGCGATGGCGGTGGCAGCCATGGCGGAGGGTTGGGCTTGGAATTTGGATGGTTGGAAGGAGGAAGAAGGGAGGGAACTGTGAAGTGATGTGGGAACGGAGGTACAGGGGGGGAAAAGTACGCTTTATAGAAAGCTTATTTGGATTCCTTCTTCTAGGTTTGCAACTTCTCTGGGGTTCGTTTGGTGGAAAATCTATCTGAGAAAATGGATTTGGGAAAAGAGGAAACAAATTTAGGAGTGATTTTAATTACAAATACATGTATTTGGATGAGTTTGGAGGTATTTGAGATTCAGTGGGACTGTGCTTTCCACAAGTCTGAGGCATGCGGCATGCCACACAAACCCATGGAAGATATTTGTTCATTTGATGCATAAATATGTGTAGATTTTATGATAAGTGTCTTTTAAGTTTCAGATTTTGAAATGCGAATGAAGGTCTTTTAAAAAGATTAGGGTGTATAAATGTCGATTACTTAAGAACTAACCTTATAAAAAAATTCTTTTATTCTTTTATTTTTCATAATTAATTTTGGTTTGATGAGAAGGGTATTATTTTTGAAATTGGAAACGAAAATGGAAATTAGCAAGAGTTAGATATTGTCGTCCCCGACTTCGATTCTTCGACATCAGTACAAAACATTGACCATTCGAGAGTATTTCGGGTTTTCCTGTAGTAAAAGTTCTTGATCAAGATATATGATAAAATTTTATCATGAGAACAATTAAACCCACACTTTCAGCATCGCCTTAACACGCTCTGACCAAATAGATTGGTGGTCGGTAATGCCATGTGAGTCTTACGCTTATCACCTTATCCAACTAAAAATGAGTTTTGATGAGATTCGATAAAAGCGTTGTGTACCCAGATAATTGAAATATTAAACTCACTTTAGAAAAATTCTAGATTCGAGAAATTAGTAACCGCTGATAATGCCTCACTTTTAGGATGACATTTTTGGGAACTAGCCTTCAAAATGATCACTCTTAGTTATATTTAAAAAAAAAAGATCACTCTTCGTTGTAGTCTTGTGAAAGGAAGAAAAGGATTATTCTTCTTAATTGGATTGATCCCCTGGCCCAAGCCCAAGAGTCAAGACGCGCATGCTTGCTTATTTACCTTGGTCCTATTTAAAAAAATACTTCTAAAATGTCGTGGATGTTCATCAATCTTTTTCTAATAAACTGAGCTAATTCTCCAAATGCGCTTGCTTATGCTCATAAGCCTCCGATTATACAAATAATCTCACTGAACTTGATTTGAAAAGCAAAAATATCATTTGGAGCAACAAAATAATAATCGCAATACAACAATAACGAGATGAAATACCGTATTACGTAATACTAGTTAAACTGTTAAAGAAAAGCTCAATATCAATTATAAAAAAAAGAAGAAGCTCAATATCAAACTATTCTCTCTCTCGGTCATTTTCCAGCGTAATGGGCTTACTCACGGTTATTCATCAAGCCTTCTTATCATATGGGCTGGGCTAACACTCCAGAATATGTTCAACTGGCCCGTTCACAAGTAAACCTGAATCTGAACCGTGAGATATATCCAACGGTAAGAATTGCATGAAATTCTTGTTACTTGGTGTATACTCTGGAACACTGGATAATTGTTGCTACCATATAAAATTGATTTCTGTTATTTGAAGTATTATTCTTCCATGCGAGCAGAGAGAGTAGTGAAGAACTGAAGATTGAAGAAAACTTCTCTCTAGGGCTTTTGAGAGAGAAACCTTCCGATTGCGCATCCATCTCAGGTATTCATTCCGTCGAGAGAGCAGATCGAATCTGAATCTAATGGCGCCTCCTGGACCTTACTCCGGCGGTAGCACTCTTGCCCTGGTAAGCGTTTTGTTTCCTCTTCCCTCAGTTCGTTTCCCGGTCAGTTGCTTGTTTAGTCGCCGAGAAAAATACACACGAGACTGAAAACTGAAGTAATCGCGATGGGAAAAGCTTGGTTCGAATCCGATCTTGGAATCTATCCAGAGCGTGGCTTCTTGGATTGTGAAGAATCAAATCCGATTTTTAGTTTTGTTGAATTGCATTTCTGATTTTGGTGTGTTGGTTTTGGAATATGGTAGGTTGCTCGCGTATCTGCGTTCTCTGTGGGTCTCGTCTATGGCAGCTTGAAGCTCAAGTATCTCAAGGTACATTTCGGCTGGTTTTGTTGCTCTTCCTCAATTAGAGCTCCATGAGTGGGATCGCCGAGCCATATTGCTGGTTTTGGTTTCGGCATTCTAAGGGTTATTTTGCTAAGCTTGCAGGATGATAATTCTGGGTTTATATTGGAATGTGGTTTCCACACTCTTGGTTCACACAGCCTGCATTGTTACATTCGTAGCTTGAATCTTGCAGCCATTCCTTAATTTTGTTTAGGCAATATCTCCCTGGGCTGGCAGAGAATTATCTCAAATGGACTTGATCAGTCTGTTCTCTCAGATCCTCTGTTCACTGGTTCTATGAAGTTTGAATCTTGTCATCACGTTCATTATGTTTTCGTCTATGAGTACCAAATCTAGAGGGTTAGGGATTTAATTGGTAGTGCTATATACTGATCAGCTGCTGTTGAATGATAGATGCAGTCCCTGTTCAAATTCTGTATTTGAGGTTCTTGTTGGAGTTCGAGGATTAGAGACAGGAGTGTTTTGTTTCATTCTAGTCATTTTGTTGAACAACTGGAGTTGCCAGTGTGAGGGTGGAACACCGTTGTGGCTTCTTCTTCTCTTTGCTTCTTAATGCATTTCGTGTGTGTCTGATGGATCCAATGCTTGTTTTCTGCGCACAATGTTCTAATCGATGGATTCTTTTGATCTTCTACATTCGAATTGACAGGCACAGGCCAAATCACAGAGGAAAGCTGAAGCAAAGGCTGCTGCTAAGAAACACTGATGGAGAGAGATAGGAAAAGGAAGATGTAGCTCTTTCTCCTGTTGTTTTTGCGTTCAGGACTCGAGTGGGCAGTAGGAAATAATCCATATTGACAATGCTGTTTATCCTTCTTTCAATCCGGTGTTAAATTGCCCTTTTCCCGGAACATGGCAATCAGCCATCAATGGGGTTGTCTACACCATATTTTTCAATAGTTTACTGACTATTGGAAGTTTGGATTTTCACTTCATTGCTGCTATTGCCTAATGGTACGGATCATCTCTGTCTGCTGACTACTTGAACCAACTGCCAAAGCATGCAGGAAGTTTGCCTTTGACATTGCGCATTATGAACATTCTTGCAGATGAGAACTGGAAGTGGAACCTCTATTTCACTTATGGTAATGCTAAGTGGGTTGCTGCTAGGGCTTTACGTTTATGGGCTGTGAAAAGAAATAGAAGAGACAATTTGGTTCAACCTAATCTCATCTCAATCTATGTTGAATCAAGTCGTTTGATCCAAACATCAATTTGATCTGCTTCATTTCGATTAAAGTAACGGCTATCAACACTTTCTCATAAATAAACCTTCCGTTCGTAGGAACATTTATATTAAATAAACGAAAACAAAATGGTCTATTACATTAGAGCAGTTGCTCAAAAAAGGTAAAACACTAAAACTACATCAATGCAGAATCATACTCTACCTATTGAGTTGGAAGGGAACCTTGCAATATACCAGAACCCAGAACTTGAGTAGCTCTATTCGACTTTGGCGAACATCCCCTGCATGGCATGAGTCACTGAACATATGGTGGCTCTAAAACAACCCTAGACGAGATGGAAAACGATCGGCTTCCAATTCTCAAACCACCTTATATGAATACAGACCGAGGGAAGAAACCGTGCATTTTCGAAGGTAGAAAGCAGCAGAAGACATAAAAAAAAGTTACAGGTATACATATGGAGGAAGAAAAAGGTAAGGTGTGTTTGGAAGGTGTTGAGAGGAGTCAAAATCAGACAACAGGAGCTCTGGATTTCTTCAAGGATTGCCAAAATGAGAAGGTCTTCTTCTCCCCACTTCTAGTAATATGCCAATCCATGCCAAATGAAGCTCTTTTAGTCATCTTCCAGTTCTGAATTGACATGAATGTCAAATTAATCGGACTTGCACGGCCACTCGTGATTCAATCAAATACAGAATTCACAACTCAGAACCAAAGTGAGTAATGTCCTTTGTCTATTGACGCAAGCATCATCATTAGTAGATTAGAGTGAAGTGTGCAACAACAAGAGACTTAACGATCAGTGGTACAGCATAGACAAAATGTCACATGGCATTACAATCACTGCTAGAGATAAACACTGAAAGCAGGTTTGATTCACAAGGAAGAACTCACCTTAAACCAAGGAGGACTGTTGCTCTAAGGGAGAGACCACTGGCAGGTGATATCCTGGCCCAAACATTTAGTCTACATAAATAATTCCTTCTTCAGGATCATCACCCTCCCAATCTCCATCATCATCAGCCCCAGACGAGTCAGGACCATCTCCGTCCAAATTTCGAACAGGACCTTTATCGGCCTTTATCTTGTCCAGTATAGCAATCACCTGAAAGGATAGAACTTTCACTTCATATGCCTGAAGAGTTCTCTCGATCCAGAATGATCGACAAATATCAATATGGAGAAAATGTAAGTTGTTCTTACCCTGCTTCCCTTCTCCATAGCTTCATCTTCTATAAATCGAATCTCTGGAGTCAGACGCAACTTCATTCGTCTACCCAACTCACCCCTTACATATTTGACCTTTGATTTCAACCCAGCAAGCGCAACCTCTTTCCCTCTATCGTCTCCAAAGACAGAAACAAATACTTTTACTACCTATAAGAACAACAACCAAACGCATCAAGCAGAAATCAGAAATCAGAAAGTCAAGAAATCGTTTTTGTTGTTATTAAGCAAAACTAATAAGGCAAATTCCTGCACCACCTAGAGTATCCTTATTATCCTTATCATGGCTGAAATCAGAGAACAGGAACAACAGATATGAAGGATTGCATACACGCAAAATGGCCGAAAATACTATGAGCCGGGTTCAATACAGTGATAGAATTTACAGAATATTATCACCCAAAACTCACAGTTCTCCTCCTTACTCGAAATAATCCCTAAACACTTGGAAGGGAAATTTCAAGCATCTCGTGATTGTAACTCGAAAGTTCCATCCCAAGCTTACAACACACACCCAGCACACGGAAATTACCAGCCAGTCTACAACTAACTCTCGGAGACAGAAAGAAGCTATACAAGTACCTGCAAGTCGCCGGAGACCTGGACGTCGCTGATGGTGGTAAGCGACGAAAGGTACCTATCCGCTCCCAAAGCAGCTTCAGGGAGAATCGCGTACTGCAACACCTTATCCGTCAAAAGCATGTCAGAAAGCTCTCTCTGAATCTGCTTCGCCACCATCCTCACTCTCCTTGGATTCGCCATGCACCTCACGGTTCCAGCTCCGACCAACGGCTTCGTCCGTCGAAGCGCCGGGTTTACATTTCGAATTGGTAGCGAGCCGGCGAAGGAGCTCGGAGAGCAGAGGAGGCTAGGAACCTGCGGACGGATATGGAGATGGTGGAGATGTAAGTGGAGCATTGCAACAACGTAGGTGATTGGAGCTCCGTCGCCGGCGTTAGCTCTGTTCTTTCCTTCTCGGGGAAATTGAAATTCTGCTCGCTTTGCTTCTGTGAGCCTCTTTCCCCGAATATCTGAGTGCGTTTTCGCCTTTGCAAAAACTGGATAACGGAGCGACTGAGCGAGAGGCTGACATAAACGGCACCGTTTTATTATGTTAGACTGAGTTAGGTCCAGGCCCATGTGGCCATGTCCCAGTACCACTTCGGTATTTCATATACAACGATCATACCAGTCATACCAGACAACTAGTTATACCGAGATCGGTATATAGTATCAATTGATTATACGAAATCTTGTCGATTTAATCTCTAATCATTCACAGACATTGCATACAACTTTACTGGCTCATACCAAACTGGATCAAATGAGAAGAAAAGTTGCATTCCTTTCATAATTTGGAGGAAAAAATCATTATATAAAGCTTACAAATGGTGAATCAGACTGCCGAAAATAGAATCCAAACAAACTTTCAACTTTTGAACTTGGCCTTCATTGTTAATCAAGTGGTGTTATGGTGTACCTTCATTGCTTTGGCCATTGCTGCATCCTTTTAATAGATTCGAGGTGACAGACGACATAAGTATAATATGATCATAACTGGGAATAGCACCATGTAAGATCATCTCTGGCACAAAAAAACAACCTATTGGGAGAGCCAGAAAACGATCCATCGCAGTGGAGAGAATACCAGACAGTATCTTTCTGTTACTCGAGTTTTATGTCTCGCCATCACTGTCAGATAACAAACAGTCCTGAATTTGCTCCCTGCAAGAGTACAGTGATTCTTCAGTATTTGCTGAGTTCAACTCGCCAACAGTAGAGAAAGAAGGGGAAAAGGTGGTTAGAAGAAAGCATCAGTTCAGTAACCCGTGAATCTCACCTTAGCATATCGAGGTTACCATTGTATTTAGGCTTGGAACGGGCAACTAGTCTTTCTGGTAAAAGTGAACAGAATTCTTTCATTGACAACTGATCCTGAGGCAGTATCTGAAATTGACAGCTCGAACAGCAGCTTGAAGCAAATTCTGTGAACTGGCAAGTCTTCGGGCTGCCCCAACTTGGTGAATTGGAATCAATAACTGGACTATTGCATATAGGACAGAAAGATTCTGAGGAAATGGATTCCTGTGGCTTGAGATTGTATCTCTTCTGCCTCCTTATGGTTGCCAAAGGAACATTAGAATCATTGATCTCAGGCACTCTATTGAAATGAAATGGAGTAAGCTTTCCGGCTGTCCGGACAATGGTGCTCTCTCGAGAAGGATTTTCTTCCTGGAATTGGGAACTAGTTGGTCGCAGGCAAAGTAAAACCAAAAAATGATAGCATGACAAGAACTAGAATTTTCTTAAGTTTCAGGATTGTGAAAGCCACAGAATGATTACCTGCAGCAGGCGTACAAATGAAGAAATCAAACCATTGATGCCCGAGGGAAGATCATTAACCAACTGTGAAGGCTTTAGACTGTCCTGCCAAGACAAGTAAAAAACTCATCATGAGTACTTTAAGGTGGGATAAAGTCTCTCTTTTATCTTTCTTCCCCATTGGTTGACATGGTAAATGTGATGAGAAGGGAAAAGGTCTGATCACAAACCCATCAATACGGCACAGAATGCTGAGCTCCTGTGTGGTACAGTCGCGAAGTGGAAGAACTACGGGAACTTCCCATCTTGCATCAACGTATTGTATGTCTGCTGACAGAGAATATCCCTGACCCTGCAATTATCTATCATATTAGGACACTGAATATGTCTTTCATCATGGACGTGAGACATGATAATCTATTCACTTCTATGACTATGAGCTGAAAGAGTAGCTATGCACTGATGATTTCCCATTTATTTCCCTCCACTGTGGAGGGATGGCTTCCATGGGGAATTTCGACCCATTTCCATGCACATTTACTGCTGGAGTAGCTGTACTATGATCTACATAAGCAAAATGACCTCGCACCTTCGCACCTTAAAGTCATTGTATCCAACAATTTAACTAATAAAATATAGAGATGACAAAGTTCTCAAAATTAAGCCTTAGAGTAGTGACACTCACACTAGAAAGACTATAGTTGCATAAAAAACCTAGACAAGTATAGTCTTCGATCATGATTACATGCTGCAATGGAGAGCCAGTTTCTGATATTGAGAGAAGCATGCAGCAGAAAAAGACAATATATACATAACTTCCATTTGAAGAATCGATTGTATAAGCACCCGAACGGCTCAACCATAGTTCATAGATCATCATATCATAAGGCATCAAAATCATATACTACTTAATATCTCAAAGATTGGGTAGACAGACCTTCACGGTTGCAGCAATAACATGGCAAGCAATCCTTGATGTACACAGACCCAGGACAAGCTTTGTGTATCCGTTTTCAGAAGCAACCTGCAGAGCCAGAAAAATTCCAACATGAGTCATTTTTACGTTTACCCCTTCATACACACAGAATGGAAAACGATGCACACAAGGGACAAACTTTCTGCAATGCCCACATCCTCAAATGCATAAGAAGGTCATCTTTTCCAGTGACATCATCAACAGCACCTATTAACTTCTTCAATCTGTCTTTCTCATCACTCGAACCTGAAGAATACAGGCTCGCTGATGAAACAACATGAAACTGCTTTACTGGTGGGGCTAATTTTGACACTGTAGATTTCATCTCCTGAATTGCTTCTTCAACTCCATCCTTAGAAATTGAACAAACAGAACTTTCGTCAACAAATGCCACTCCGACGCCAAAGACTGGCAACGACCTGTCTTTACTTGCTTCATAGTTTTTCTGAGCTCTCTGCTGCATTTCATGCACAAACTGCAAAGCTACCCTGAACAAATAACACGATTGGTTCAAATGCTAAACTCAGAACAACAGTCCTACACTGTCATTGGAGGAACAACAAAATCGACAATAATTGAAGTAAAGCAACAATCTTAAATAATACAGTCCTATCAGCTCACAGCGTTCGCCCAACAGGATCCATATTTCAGCTTCATAATCATACAATGGTTCCTCAGCTCAGGACGTATCTCTCCTTACGTGATCTAACATCACTTCCTAATGCTTCCAATTTGAAGTAAAGCAACATCTAAAAACATTACATTTATGATCGTTTCATAGAGTAATTACTAATTTCTGATCAATAAGGAAACACAGTCGAAGAGAAAGAGACCTGGAAGCAACGCCGCCGGAGAAAGCAACGAGCACGTTATCTGAAGGAGTGATCATGGCGTGGGAAGTAACCGCAAGCCGGAACTTGCCGAACAGATTAGCCCTGAAACAGTCAGCACAGAACCGCGCCTCGTCGCCGGTACCGCCACCGCCGCTGCCGCTTGAAATTGGTGGGCTGACCTTGCACTTCAAGCACACGCCCTGCTGCTGTTGGTGGCCGCCATCGTTGCTGCCAGTGGTGGGAGTCGGAATCGAGTCATTCTCTGCTACTTGCTCGTTCTGGTGACAATTGGATTGACAGTTGCCGGAATTGCAAGCCATGGCAATCGAGAACTGGAAGCAAGATTGGATGCTTTCAGTTATTTTGTTTAGGCGGGGGCTAGGGTTTCAGTCTTCAAGGAAGGGACGGGCCAGTTTTGGGCGGGTTCGAATTTCCAAACGATCAAAACTGGAGGGTTGTGTACCAAATGGCAAATAGGCCTTTCTACTTTCTATAAACTAACAAACACATCCTTTAACTTCTATTCTTAACTAAAATGGCCCCATGCATCATTAGAAAGATCATAGTAGTAAAGACACTTTCTCACCGGCTTGAACTAAAAGGCCGAACAAGATTAGAGCTCGAATAACGTCAAACACATTCTTTACTCAGCTGACTAGAGCATGCTCATCAAATCGAAGTGGGATTGTGGTCGAAACAGGATTAGAGCTCGAATCACTTCAAACACATTCTTTAACCGACGGACTAGGGCATACTCATCGACTCGAAACGAGATTGTGACACGTAATAAATTGTAACAAGTGTTTCTATGGTAACAAAGGGGTGAGAGGTTGTTGACCACGCACTCCACCTCTAATTAGTTGAGATATCATTACCATGGAGTTAAAGGATGGTGGGGCTATAGATGATTTATAAAACGACGATTGTGGTTCTCACTATACACGAGGAAGCAAGCCAACTAGCATGATGTCTCGATCCTACATTTTCACTTTCTTAAAACTAACTTTATGACATGATGCAAGTTGATCAAATTTTCATCTACACGAATTTTATAAATCATCTCGCTGATAAAAATACTATCTATTCCGATGATTTTTTTTAATTTCATGAATATATCCGACTTAATGGTAGATATTGATATTTGTAATTGTATGATACATTTCGAAGCCTTTCATTTGAAAATGTTTTTTACAATATGGAAAACAACATAAACAAATTTGATATGAACTCTTATCACTAGGAACGAGACGCCTATGACATTCCACGTTTGTGTCTTTTTCTCTTTTTGGACTCTAAAGGGATCACAAGCTCTCAAAACACAGAAGCGACGAGCAACATATCAAGTGAGCTTCAAACAAGTGACACAAAGCTCACCTCTCTGCCACACTCCAAAACTCGAAAGAAAGCAAAGAGCAATAAAGGATGGATCTTTTACATGGCCTTCAAAAGCTTCACAAACTGACAATGATATGCTTTCAACCAGAAATGAAAAATCTCTCCCTCTCTCTCTCTCTCTCTCTCCTCCACCTCAGCATCATCCCCATTCCAAATTTCCACCTCACCCTTGTAAAAGTAAGCAAGGGGAAATCCAACTCGCCCAATCAGAATCCAGCAAACTCCATCGCCATAACCCCAGCAGATAGATTACACACTCTCCACTCTCTGCAAACTTTCCCCAAAATCGAACCAGAACCTCAGAAACCAGTCCCTGTTTCCTCCAATCATAGGCCCCTCACTACCCATTTCGCCACGTGTCCCTCCCTCCCACCACTAACCATATTAACCACCACCTCCCCTTCTGCTCCTTTCAGTAGCAGAGTTATAAAGGCATGACCTCTTTAACTTCTTCGAGCAAAGGAGAAGAAGAAGGGTTCTCAAAACTCTCTGGTGGGTTCATTCACTGAACCAGAAAACAACACATTATATACACTGAACCCACTTACATTTTTCATTCTCTTCATCCTCCCTTCCACAGAGGAGTTTTTGTATCTGGCTCTCTATCTCTGTGCAACAACAACAATGGCTTCCTTGCTATCTTCTTCCTTCATCACCCCACCAACAAAATCAGACCAGCTTTCCCAAAAGCACTACTTTCTCCACTCCTTCCTCCCCAAGAAAACAAACCCATCATCATCAAACAGCAAATCCGCACTGAAATTCAAGTGTTCCGCCATAGGAAACGGCCTGTTCACGCAGACCACGCAAGAAGTCCGGCGAATTGTCCCGGAGAAGAACTCCAACCTCCCCACGGTGAAAATCGTCTACGTGGTGCTGGAAGCTCAGTACCAATCCTCCCTGTCCGCCGCAGTGCAGTCCCTCAACAGGGACCCCAGCAAGTTCGCGTCTTTTGAGGTCGTTGGCTACTTGGTCGAGGAGCTGCGTGATCCAGACAACTATGAAGCCTTCTGCAAGGACCTCGAGGACGCCAACATCTTCATCGGGTCGCTGATCTTCGTCGAGGAGCTCGCGCTGAAGGTGAAGGCCGCCGTGGAGAAGGAGAGGGAGAGAATGGATGCTGTGTTGGTCTTCCCTTCCATGCCAGAGGTGATGAGGCTGAACAAATTGGGATCCTTCAGCATGTCACAGCTCGGCCAATCGAAGAGCCCCTTCTTCCAGTTGTTCAAGAGGAAGAAGCAAGGCGCTGGATTTGCTGACAGCATGTTGAAACTGGTGAGAACTTTGCCGAAAGTGTTGAAGTATCTGCCCAGTGACAAAGCTCAGGATGCGAGGCTGTACATATTGAGTCTCCAATTCTGGCTTGGAGGGTCTCCTGATAACCTGCAGAACTTTGTGAAGATGATTTCCGGGTCATACGTTCCGGCATTGAAGGGAACGAAGGTCGAGTACTCCGATCCGGTGTTGTTCCTCGACACTGGAATCTGGCACCCGTTGGCTCCTTGTATGTACGACGATGTGAAGGAGTACTTGAACTGGTATGATACAAGGAGGGACACGAATGAGAAGCTGAAGAGCGGGAATGCTCCAATAGTTGGGCTGGTTTTGCAGAGGAGTCACATTGTGACAGGGGATGAAGGTCACTATGTGGCTGTGATCATGGAAATGGAAGCCAGAGGTGCGAAAGTGATACCGATTTTCGCTGGGGGGCTGGACTTCTCAGGTCCTGTTGAGAAGTACTTCGTCGATCCGGTCACCAAGAAGCCGATGGTGAACTCAGTTGTGTCATTGACAGGGTTCGCCCTCGTTGGTGGTCCAGCGAGGCAGGACCATCCACGAGCTGTGGAGGCTCTGATGAAGCTCGACGTGCCTTATATGGTCGCGGTGCCTCTCGTGTTTCAGACCACCGAGGAGTGGTTGAACAGTACTTTGGGGCTTCATCCCATTCAGGTGGCGTTGCAAGTTGCTCTTCCTGAGCTTGATGGTGGCATGGAGCCTATCGTTTTCGCTGGCCGCGATCCCAGAACAGGTACTCGATTGGGGCTTTTGTTGATCTTGAATCCCTTTTTGTAGTTAAGTCATTGTTGCTCAACTAAGAAAGTTTGGAATCTGGGTTTATCAGGGAAGTCTCATGCTCTTCACAAGAGGGTGGAGCAATTGTGCATTCGGGCAATCCGATGGGGTGAACTCAAGAGGAAGTCAAAGGTATTATTATGCTAATCCTGACAATGAAACCTTGTCCTGTTCAGAGCAACAAGGATTAATCAGTACCATCAGATAAAATTCCATAAGCTAATGACAACAGAAGCGATCAAATGAATGGCTTAGAATTGTATTCTTACGAAACTTCCTGTCACTTTGCTATTGGTCTAGATTCTCTAGTATTTCAATTCAGACCGAGTAAAATTTGACAGGTATCTCTATAAAAGAAGATATAAACTCACATTTAACTCCCCCACCACTAATGGATGTAATGCTAATGCAGGCTGAGAAGAAGTTGGCTATAACCGTGTTCAGTTTCCCACCAGACAAAGGCAACGTAGGTACAGCAGCATACCTCAACGTCTTCTCTTCAATCTTTTCGGTGCTAAGCGACCTGAAGAAAGACGGCTACAACGTAGAGGGACTCCCCGAGACATCGGAAGCCCTGATCGAAGAAATCCTGCACGACAAGGAGGCACAGTTCAGCAGCCCGAATCTCAATGTAGTGTACAAAATGGGAGTACGAGAGTACCAGGAGCTCACTCCTTATGCAACCGCACTAGAAGAGAACTGGGGCAAACCTCCAGGCAATCTCAACTCCGACGGAGAGAATTTGTTGGTCTATGGCAAGCAATATGGGAATGTCTTTATTGGCGTCCAGCCCACATTTGGTTACGAAGGTGATCCCATGAGGTTGCTCTTTTCCAAATCCGCCAGTCCACACCATGGCTTCGCTGCTTACTACTCGTTCGTCGAGAAGGTCTTCAAAGCTGATGCGGTGCTCCACTTTGGTACCCATGGCTCGCTTGAATTCATGCCAGGGAAGCAAGTGGGGATGAGTGATGCCTGTTTCCCAGACAGTCTCATTGGCAACATCCCCAATATATACTACTATGCAGCTAACAACCCATCTGAAGCCACCATAGCGAAACGTAGGAGCTATGCTAACACCATAAGCTACTTGACTCCTCCGGCTGAGAATGCTGGCCTCTACAAGGGTCTCAAGCAATTGGGCGAGCTCATTTCCTCGTACCAATCTTTGAAAGACACCGGGCGCGGCCCCCAGATTGTGAGCACCATCATCAGCACGGCAAGGCAGTGCAATCTCGACAAGGATGTAGACCTGCCTGATGAAGCAGCAGAGATCTCAGCCAATGAGAGGGACCTCGTGGTTGGCAAAGTGTACTCCAAGATCATGGAGATCGAGTCCCGCCTCTTGCCATGTGGGCTCCACGTCGTTGGTGAGCCACCATCTGCAATGGAAGCTGTTGCCACACTTGTCAACATTGCTGCCCTTGACCGTCCTGAAGAGGGGATTACTTCGCTCCCATCCATACTAGCCCAGACAGTTGGAAGAGAAATGGAGGACGTGTATCGAGGCAGCGACAAGGGGATCTTGAAGGATGTGGAGCTTCTTCGCCAGATCACCGATACATCTCGTGGTGCAGTCTCGGCATTCGTGGAGAGGACCACCAACAGCAAGGGCCAAGTGGTTGACGTAAGCAACAAGCTATCTTCGATCCTAGGCTTCGGGATCAATGAGCCATGGATTCAGTACCTGTCCAACACAAAGTTCTACCGTGCTGACCGGGAAAAGCTCCGCGTCCTGTTCCAGTTCTTGGGAGATTGCTTGAAGCTCGTGGTTGCCGATAACGAGCTCGGGAGCCTGAAACAAGCCTTGGAAGGCAAGTTTGTGGAGCCCGGGCCGGGTGGCGACCCGATCAGGAACCCGAAAGTGCTGCCCACGGGGAAGAACATCCACGCGCTCGACCCGCAATCGATCCCCACCGAAGCGGCAATGCAGAGCGCGAAAGTCGTCGTCGAGAGGCTGATCGAGCGGCAGAAGATCGACAATGGCGGGAACTATCCAGAAACTGTTGCTCTTGTGCTGTGGGGAACAGACAACATCAAAACATACGGGGAATCACTCGGTCAGGTTTTGTGGATGATCGGGGTCCGACCGGTTGCCGATACATTCGGTCGGGTCAACCGAGTCGAACCGGTCAGCCTCGAGGAGCTCGGCCGGCCGAGAATCGACGTCGTCGTCAACTGCTCCGGCGTCTTCCGCGATCTCTTCATCAACCAGATGAACCTCCTCGATCGAGCGGTGAAAATGGTGGCGGAGCTCGACGAACCTGTAGAAATGAACTACGTGAGGAAGCACGCCCTCGAGCAATCGAAAACCCTAGGGATCGACATCCGCGAAGCCGCGACTCGAATATTCTCCAACGCCTCCGGCTCGTACTCCTCCAACATCAACCTCGCCGTCGAGAACTCGACGTGGAACGACGAGAAGCAGCTGCAGGACATGTACCTGAGCAGAAAATCCTTCGCGTTCGACTCCGACGCCCCCGGCGCCGGGATGATGGAGAAGAAGAAGGTGTTCGAGATGGCGCTCAGCACCGCCGACGCCACTTTCCAAAACCTAGATTCGTCGGAGATCTCGCTCACCGACGTCAGCCACTACTTCGATTCGGACCCGACGAATCTGGTGCAGAGCCTGAGGAAGGACGGGAAGAAGCCGAGCGCGTACATCGCCGACACGACGACGGCGAACGCGCAGGTGCGGACGCTGTCGGAGACGGTGAGATTGGACGCGAGGACCAAGCTGCTGAACCCTAAGTGGTACGAAGGGATGATGTCGAGCGGGTACGAAGGCGTCCGTGAGATCGAGAAGCGGCTGACGAACACCGTTGGATGGAGTGCCACGTCAGGGCAGGTGGACAATTGGGTTTATGAAGAGGCTAACACTACGTTTATTCAGGATGAAGAGATGATGAACAGGTTGATGAACATGAACCCGAATTCGTTCAGGAAATTGGTGCAGACGTTCTTGGAGGCCAATGGACGTGGGTACTGGGAAACTACTGAGGAGAATATTGAGAAGTTGAAGCAGCTTTACTCTGAAGTGGAAGACAAGATCGAAGGTGTTGATCGGTAGAGGGAAGATCCCGATTCGAGCTGCAGACGACGAAGAATTGCAGCAATGAAAGTCATTAACTCTTTGTTGAATCTGGTACATTACTATTGTGCATTATCCCAGATGAGTTGAGTGTTGTGTGATCATGTAACTTCCCCGCCAGAACTATTTGTAAAATTTGTTCATAAACAGCTCTTGCAAGAGATTTCGCCCAGAGACATTGTCGATATCTTGAGGAAGGAATGAACTTTGATCAGCTCTCGATCAGTGAATGATTCAAACTGAAAACAAGTGTGCTGTTTTCCACTGTTTCTTCAGCTACAAGGCAATGTCTAGAGATGTGCATGGAGTTCCTAACGAAGTAAAGAGAATGGTACATTGGGTAAATCTACAAACTGACTGACAAGATTACAAAAATGGGGAAATGGAAACTCCCTACACCCTGCTGCACCAACATGAACACTACAAGGAGGAACCAAAAATTGAAAGATGAACAAAAGAATACTCGTATAACAGTTGCAAGAGTAATAATAATACACTTCCCTTTTCTGGTGTTTTCTTCTCTTACAAATGGTGGAGTTAATATGTGAGTAATTGGAATTTCTTCAGACTAGCTCCATTAAAAGAGGGTCACCTTCCGCCATTACTCTTATGAGCTTTATGAACTCTTGTTCGGATGATACGCTCCATGGATGTACAGCTGGTGCTTGGGCAGAGAACAACGTCGAATTGCTGGGTGGAGGCGTTTGCTTGTATACCATTGTGTTCAAGATCGGGTCGAAGTTCTGAGGCGAATCCACTGAGAGAAAGAACATTGGTATGGCAACCTTGTGATGCATCTCCATACCACCCACTGGACCGACATCACGAACCAGATAAACAAGATCTACAAAGTCGGAGACGAACTTTTGAGGAATGTAGAATATCTCGGAATTGCAGAGCACCAGGCTATTTTCGGTCTTCACGGCTTCTTTGTAGTTGACTTGGAGGTGAGCCGGCATTGAATCAACAACTTTCTTCACCACTCCAGCTTGCTTAGTCAACCAATCTCCATCAGGTGCCACAATGCTCCAAGAATCAGATACCTGAATCCACAGTATGTCAATGGAAAGATACAAAAATTAGGTAACAAAATTCCATATCTTCGTAGCTTCATATAGTTCAGTGGCATGAAAAAAACAAAAAAGGTACCTTGTCAGTGATCCATAGCTTAGTCTTGTCTGCTTGATGCAGATTCCAGTAATTAAGTATGGTATCATCCTGAAGGAACAGAAAACCTTCTGCACTGCTGAACCGGTTGAACAACCTGGGCAGAAGCCTACAAAAAGTTGAGACATTGGTAAATTAGTAGGTTAAGATCAAGAGAAAGCGGTTAGAAACAAAGTTTCTAACGGGATTTGGATTGGGTGATATTTGGGAATTTAGGGATTGAGAAGATAGAATTAGGGATTTGGGAAAGAGTTGGGGAAGAACAGAAGGGAATCGGCCTAGGCCTTTAGAGGGATTGAGATCGAGAATTGGGAAGATAGGGAGATTAGGGTTTAGGAGATTCTTTGATAATTCTTTCTTGACTTCCTGAATAAAACGCAAAGTACATATTTATAATGAAAGACTGGAAAAACCTAATACTAAACTTAATCTACTAAAAGACTACTAACCATATTTAAATAAACCTAATAATAATGATAATGATAATGATGATATAGAAACCCGTTTTCCTTAGAAAACGTGTTTCTAACATCCAATCCCCCTTGAGATCAACCTTGCCCTCAAGGTTGATAATCTCGACCCATTTCTTCACGTCTATCATGCAATTCGTGTCTTGCCTCCTCCATTTCTTGCGCTTCCTTTTCTTCCAATCGTGCTCCACGACTTGAACGCATCTAACACCAACAACTTCGGCTTTCGTTGCTTCTCCTTTACCCACTTGGCTCTTGTCACAACCATGTCCAAACGACTCCCCAACCTCCTTCTCAAATTTCACAAAGTAAGAGTCAGAGAGTTGTTCTTTCTTGAGCATATCTTCATTACCCACCTTGAAATCTTCAATGAATTGCGTTATTGATTTTCCCAAGTGCTTGGTGGGGAAAGCAAGCTCTTTTGGACCCTTGTCTCTTCCAAGTGAGGTTGGATTTAAGCCTGCTAAAAGTTCACGTTCTCCCCCAGTGAGCCCACCTCCGTCTTCCTTCATGTCTTGGCCCTGCAAAAATAACCCAACAAGAGAGCCCATTGGTGGCCCACTCACTTTATTCATCTGGCCCGAATTAAGCCCATCAAGCTTCTTCATCATGGCCCGCCCCTGATCAAGGTTTAGATTACCCTCCTTAATAACTGGGCTCGCTCGACTCGGCCCATCCAGTTCTGTGGCCATGCCCAAGACGAGCCCAAGGGTTACAAACCCTAGCTCTGGTCCGTCAGAGGAGACGGCCCGACCCGCTCCGGCGACCCGATCAGCAGCTCGGCCCACGGTTTCGGCCCGCTGGCCTGGCCACTGTGCAACGGGGCCTAGGGTTGTTGGCGAAAGAAGATCGCCGCCCTCCTCCTCGCCCTTCTTCTTCGTCGCGCCGCCCGCCATCTTCATCACCATCACCGCCGTTTCTTCCTCCAACGGCGAACGACCCTCCAGGCGACGACGATCCCAGCCCGATTCCGGCCACCTCACCTCGATGTTCGGCGGCGCAACCGAACCCGTCGCCAATCGCCGCGTTCCGCGAGCGATTTGGAGCTTTTCGCCGCCCTCCTCCTCGCCCTTCTTCTTCCTTTCTCTCGACGAGCAGTCTCGCCGGCGGTTAAGAGTTGCATCAGCTTCTGGCCTACTCATCTTTCTTTCTGGCAACGATGACATCACCCATCGCGGCGCCATTAGCCTGATTCTCGACTTCGTTAAGGAACCCCGGCGACCCTGCGCTTCTTTCTTCCTCTTCGTTGGTGGTTTCTTCTTTGGCGCTCTAGGTTTCGGCGACGAGAAGTTCGCCCAACGGCAAGGCGGCACACCAAGCTCCTGTCTCGCCCTCGCCCTTGCCCTCGCGTCGATCGACGCCACACCTGGAGCCCCCATCGCTCGATGAGCCTCCTTGTCCAGCGGCAGTCGAATCGCCAGCTGGTCGTCAACCCAGCTCGAAGCACTCCCGTACGTCGCCCGTAGCGGGACTACCGGTGTTCGCTGCGCATCCTCTCTTCTGGTCAACGAGGCGAAGGAACCCGCCCACCCTTGCTGTATTGTCCCGATTCGGGGTTCCGGCGACGGGCTCCCCTTCTTCTTCTTCGACAACGAACAGCGCCCCCGGCTAGGAGGCAGCCGGTCCGCTGTTGGCCTCGGCTTCCGCCTCTTCCCCTCCTTGGTCGACGTCGCCCTCACCAACCCTTTGACCCGATCCACCGTAACAATCATTTTTCCTGATAATTCCTTTTTTTGATCGCCCAGCATGGACTCCAATTCTTTTCCCGGCGACAACGTCTTGTCAGATTGTTGTTCTATTTGCGCGATTGGGGGTGCAGGCGAAACCACCCTGCGGACCATCGCCTTCGTCTTCGGCTGCAAGTCTTCTACCGATTCTTTCTTTCTAAACTTCCAGCCATCGATTCGCGGGGTCTGTGGAATTCGAACAGATCTGGATGCAGCCTTGGGCGGTGGTGAAGACAGTTTGGTGGCATCAATGTTGTTGGTTTGGCGATGAATCGATGATGGCGTTGCAGACGTTACCGTGGTGATTGATGGTGTTGGTTTGGCTTGTCGATGCGAGTCTATGGTTCGCACGAACTGCCCTGCTAATGGCCAGTCGCGTCCGTCGGTCGCAGCCTCCTCTGTTAACGTCGCACACCTCCTACGCACCTCCCGATAACGTATGTCAAGGGCTTGATGCTGCAGCTCCTGCAGTCGAAACCACTCTTGATCAAAGAGCTTTGACGAACTCATTGTGATTATGGATTAAGATGTAGTCGTCCCTGGTTTAGAGTTGTGAAGAACTCACTCTCGTAACCAGGCTCTGATACCAAATGTTAGAAACAAAGTTTCTAACGGGATTTGGATTGGGTGATATTTGGGAATTTAGGGATTGAGAAGATAGAATTAGGGATTTGGGAAAGAGTTGGGGAAGAACAGAAGGGAATCGGCCTAGGTCTTTAGAGGGATTGAGATCGAGAATTGGGAAGATAGGGAGATTAGGGTTTAGGAGATTCTTTGATAATTCTTTCTTGACTTCCTGAATAAAACGCAAAGTACATATTTATAATGAAAGACTGGAAAAACCTAATACTAAACCTAATTCTACTAAAAGACTACTAACCATATTTAAATAAACCTAATAATAATGATAATGATGATATAGAAACCCGTTTTCCTTAGAAAACGTGTTTCTAACAAAAGCTCTCCGACACGTACCAAACAGGGCAGAAGTTTAGAAGCATGTTATTGAGATTGTTTGCCATGTAAGCAAAGACAAGTGATAAGCTAATCGAATGTAGATTGCAAGGAATCATGGTTGAGATTTGAGAGGGGGGAAAACAAAATTAAGGCAACAAATATCTCAATAAGCAAGGCGAGAGAGGCGTCCTGAGAATAGTAATTAAGGAAGTAGGTATGCAAAGTACAGGAGAAATCCCTGGACCTATATTTCATGCTCCTTATAACTTCAGAAATACTCCAAACGTGACTCAGAACAACAGCAATATGCAAAGTACAGGATACACTTTCAGGTGTGTCTATGTACTACAACCCACAATGTTGTTTCAGTACACACAACTAGCTAAAAAGAAGTACTACATTCAGCTTATCAGTCAAAATAACTGAACTACATTGTCCCCTACATTTCTCTGTACCCCTTCGACAATGAAAATATGCATTCCACTCCTACTTATACCGAGTACTTAAAAGTTCAGATAGATTAAAAAATCCGGAGATGCAGCCATCCAATGAAAATATGTCATTCTATTCGATGGACTAATTGTCTCAAATCTTCTTAAACCCTCAAATGAAAAGCTTGGACTAATTCCCATCTATCAGCAAAACTCTCAAAAACGAATTCTGTAACTACTCAAGCAATGATTTACGCATACTGAATTTTGTAATTTATGGCCTTTTGCAGTAACAAGAGCAATGTAAGCTTATATGGAGCAGTAAATGAATCAGTACAACCAAAACCCAGTATAATAGGTAAAGCAGAATTTCAAACCATTACAAAGAAATTGACAGAATGACTTACTTGTACATCTGGTCCAGATGCCCTTGCTCAACAGCAAGATCCTCATTCTTCTGCTCTGAGAAAATCACCACAGTTTTGAATATCCGTCCATAGAGTAATCTCCATTCCAATGCGGTCCGCTCAACCGGCCCGCTGCAGAACATAATCAGCACGACATTTCCGAAATTCTTCCTCCATCGAATCAGATTGCCGATCTCATAATTAACTGTTCCTGTTTCCTCAACCCCTAGATGGACTGATGGCAATTTACGAGGAATAAACTCCTTCCTATCTCCATGACCAATCGTAGGCCTTGGCCTATCCAATTCCAGTGACATTAACCTAGGCTGCTGATAACCAACAGCAATCAAGTCTTGAAGCCAAGCAGCAGTGAACTTCACATCCAGCTCACTCCAAAATCCTTCCTCAGCCATTGCAAAGCTCAGATCCAAAACCTTCTCAAACAATCGGTGCTTTGTTGATCTCCAAGCAACTAAGAACTTAATCAATCTACCAACATTCACATGTAGATCCTTCTCCTCTGAGAAAGGGTAACCCGCAATCCTATCATCTCTATGCACTGTAGGAGGATAAACCACAACATATCCACCTATTTCCCACAACAGCCTTTGGGACCAATAACCTCTCAAGATATCAGCTGCCATTGTGCTTACTGACACAGGAAGCATCAACCCCCAAAATGCAGATGAATGGTAAATTGTGTTGAATGAATTTACAGGCACCATGATCCCCTGAGGCAATGCTACTTTGGGGGCATGGTCGTCGAACTTAATGTCGAAGGATTCCAAACCGGCTTTCCTGGTGAAATAGAACACTGAATCAACATCAGGCAATCCATTGGATATACCTTGTTGGATAAACTGCTTCCCCCCGAAGACCTCAGTATAGAACTCTTCATGCCCAATTTCTCCCACATTCTCTAATGGCAATCCTCTAGGCCAAACCGATCTCTGCCCGAAATGGACATATGGATTCACTATAGACCTATTCACATTCTCATGACTGTACTGCAAAATGGGTTCATGCCTAGCTCCTTCCCCAGCTAAATCTACATCGAAATGTTTCCCTAGATCACCTCCAATGACTTCCCCACGATCATCGGCATCAAAGATCTTCTTGGCACCATGTTGAATGGCGAACAAATACCCAACACTCTTCCTCACATAAGAACGAAAGGGCAAGTAATCAACAACCCTAAAACCCAGAGTAGCTTGCTGCTCTAAGGACAAGAATACGGCACCTTTCAATGACCAGTCAGAGGGAGTCGAGGAATCGCCAACAGCAAGCACCTGCCATCCCTTGATCTTGACGAGCTGCTTGAGAGAATCCGAAGGGTAATCGGAGACGGAGACCACGATCCACTTCTCGGTGCGGAAATTGGCGTAAGGAGTGGAAGTATCTCTCAAGGTAGGCACGTTGTTCCAGTCGATGTGAGGACGGTGAAGGGTTTTCTCGATGGAGTGAGACTTCGATTGGAAGTAGAGGAAAGCTGAGGTGTCGCCGACGTTGCGCAGGAAGAAGAGGGCAGCGACGGTGGCGACGAGGAACACGATTGTGACGATCTTGTAGAGATTGTCGGAGAACCAAGTGCAGAAGTCGAGCGATTTGGCTGGAGAGAATCGGCGGCCGGAAATTGGGTGGTGAAATGCGGTGGTGGGCAGTTGCGATTTGGAGTTGGATTTGGATTTGGGCGATTTGGGCGGAGGCGGCGACGCCGGTAAACGGTCCTGGACCAACATTGCTTCTTCAGCTCCGCTGCTCACTGCGGCTGGCGCTGAATCTCACCCCTTCCCCACTCCAATTCCACCTCCAATGCCAACCAAATTATGGGTTGATGCAGTGGAGTACAGCCAGTATCGAGTGTGACAGCTTTGATTGACTTGGGAAGTTGGGAAGGAAGGAAGGATGGTAGCTGAAAATAGCAGTTTCCCCCTTCTCTCTCTAGATTTGATTCACCCGATCACTGTCGCTCTCTCTCTTTATTTTCGTTTAATTTTATCTTTCTGGTGGGTTGTCAAAGCTCAAAACAAAGCTTTGCTGGCCATGGATCTCTCCTCCGCTGCTGATGAAAGTGAACACCCACTACTAGAGAATGGAGAACAGGGCAACCTTTTTGCCAAGTAGAAACAAACAGGGGAGGATTGAAAATTGGAACTTTTTGGTGATTTGTGTGGGGAAATGAGCGTGTTGTCAGGAGTGTGTGGTGGTGAATGAGAGCGATTCAGAGAATGAATGAATTGATGGTGAACAGTTGGAGAAGGATGTTTTGAGGGGAAAGGCTGCTGCTGCCGACAACCAAACGAAACCCACAAAAATTGGGTTGGCTTGTTTGTTTGGATTAAAGGAAAAATGGAAAAGGGTTGATGGTCTGACTCAGAGATGGAGAGATTTGTAAGCTTGCTTCAATGTAACGTTGATGGTTGGTGGGTTTGGGCATGCGTTTGGGCTCTGGTAAGCTGTAAATGTCATCTCTCTGGTTCTTTTGCTTAGATGTTAGAATGTCTCCACCAAGGTTCTTTAGAAAAAGAAAGGGAGCTCCATCACTAACAAAGAGGACAATATTAAGGTCTGCTAGGATGTTGGTTAATCTATCGCCGGTTGTTATGCTTTGATTAGGGTGATTAATGATCTTTGGATCTATCCATCCTTTCATGAACGGTTTGGTTGATTAACAGGCCTATTTTGTATCGACCAACGAAGAAGAGGTCTAGGTTGGATTTCAGCGATTGAGAGAGGAACATGCAAAGAGGAGAGAGAGAGGGATAGAACGGTCGGTTCATAGGTTGGTTGAGTTTTTAAGGATTGAGTTGGGAAAGATGATATGACGAATTGAGTGACGTAGCTGATCGGGTTTGATAATGTGGCGGATTAAAAAAGGTGAATCAACACTTCTGTTATGCCCACCAAAGCCAAACTGTTTTTAAAACTCTTGCTTTATCTGTCTCTGCCTCTATTAAGCCTTCCTGCTGTGTGCTGAAAATCCAGTCCACCAACTCCACTAGGAGATGATGACGAGCTTTGAATAAAATAAGTTGTGGTTGTATTGAGCCAAAGGCAGGCCACTTGGTTCGATTAGTTGATTAGTATGTAGGATAGTAGTTGTCCTTTCTAATCAGGCCATGTTCTCAATATTGCACAACTATGAGGAGGAGGAGTATAACTTGTTTATACATGTTTGTGGATGGCCCTATATCAGTTTTGCTATCCTCCTCCCAACCCAAATTTGTGAGAACATGCTCACAGGAGCTGTGCATGATTGGATCGAGGGATGATGGGCCTTCGTGATTGTTGGATCGATACGGTATCAATTCTGTAAATAAATTAATCGATGTCATCCAGAAATCATATGTGAAATACCCAACAATAGATCAAACGGCTCCCACCCAAGCATGTTCTCTCATATGGATTGAGAGCAATATAATTGGGGTTCCACTTGTAGTGTACACAGGTTGCACACATGTGTCGTGGCACGATATTAATGCTCTTGAAGCTAATTAACAAAGCAATAAGTTACTTAATTTCGACACATCGAAGATCTCAATGATGAGCATTTGTTAAGACACAAATGCTAATGAAGAAGGTCCACAACTACGGTCAAGTCAGCATTCCTTCTCGTAACAGGAAAAAGTGTTGAAGTTTGAAAGAGTTATGTATGAAAGCCATAAGGGAAGTAGTTTTGGTTCTACTTTCAGAAATATAGACACGATTTAAATTTAGAAGATTTGTCTAAAGCTAAAAACACGAGATACTAAATTTTGGAAGCATATTAGCTCCAAATAAAATTTTGTGAAAGCGAGGAGACATAATCAATGGATCGATTTTATCGGGAGTCTAGTATGTACAACTGTAAATGGGTTTAGGTCTTCAGGATGATAGTCTCGCGGAGTTGAGTACTTACTCCGACTCTCAACCCCTACCACACTAATTTATAATTTTCTTTATAAGGTAAAAATAAATTATTAATATCAAACCGTTGAGTTGCGATCTATAAAGATCGCTAAAAACGACAACAATTTTATTATACATACATCTATCTCTTAATTTCGTATCTGACAGCTGGAATGTATAATAATAATTTTATTTAACTTAAAAATTCTGAGATCATATATCGTTCCCGCCACAAATATGGTGTTAATCAAAGTTAAAGTTAATTTCTAACCATATGTTACTAGCCAAGAGATCTGTATACCATGTTAGGATGTTCGATTCAACGCTAAGTGAAGGAAAAGAAAAGTAAGAAACCATCTAGATCAAAATAAGAAAAAAATGTGTTCTTCGGCTCTATATGTAAAAATGTTATCTTCGTAAACAATAACATATTAATACGTACTCAATTCATCCAAAAAGCATGTTAAAAATCAATAAAGCCGTCAATCTAATTGTACCACACCATTTTAGGAACAAATAAGTCATGTATATAAGAAGAAGAGACAATTGTTTTCGTCTTCTTCATTATTTCATATTTTCTAATGCATTTGGACACCAGTCAGAAAACAATTAATAATCTCCCAAAAATACAAAAAAAAAAAAACCACACACACTTTACATACATGCACTCTATGAATATAAAGTAGTCACTATCTCAGAATCTATTGGCCAGTTTGCACTTGGATTTTTTGTCAAAATAATAAAACTCACAAAACCAAAAAAAAAAAGCTGTTTTCCCATATAATACCAACCCATAACCACAAATATGGAAACACATATATAACGATTGACAAGAAAAAAAATTTGCAAATCACCAAACATGGCAAAAAATTGAACACAAGAACAACAAAATGAATTTGTCACCCAAATACAAACCATTCATTCCCACAAGGACCACCATTTGGATTTCCCTATAAATTTACATTCCCATTTTCCCCACCATCAATCATTGTTCATAAACTGCTAGAGAATATAGAAGAACAAAAAAAACTTGGGTTTACTTGGTAAAAAAAAGGTTCAATGGCGAGAAAGAGTAGAGGTCGCCAAAAACTCGCTATGGTGAAAATCGAGAGCGAGAGCAATCGATTGGTTACGTTTTCAAAGAGGAGGAGTGGAATTTTCAAGAAGGCGAGCGAGCTGGCTACGCTATGTGGCATTGAAGTGGCCATAATTGTCTTTTCTCCTGGTCAGCGAGTGTTCTCCTTTGGTCATCCCAGCGTTGAACACATCGTCAATCGATTTTACTCTGGTCGGCAACAGATCAACCTGGCACCGACACCGGCGACGCCGACTACTCAATTCATTGAATCTCAAAGGAAAACTAGGCTTCAAGAACTCGGTTTCGAACTTACTCAGGTATAATTACAGAATTAATGAACAGTTGATCCGTATGTAATCTATTTGCAAATGTTCATCATCATCTTCAGGTAGTTGATCATACACAAGTTATTTTTTGTTTGATTTACTAATTAAGCGTGATGGAGATATTGTTGAAGATAACAAATCGATGTCAAATTATGATGGCCGAAACCTAATTATTTAACGATAGAATAGATCGAAAGTTACGTTATGCTTTCATATTCTCATCGATGTTTAGATTAACAAAAAATATTTAAGAAATATGTCTTTTTAATACTTATCCATAATTATTATTTGTCATTTGTATCTTTTCCTTTTTTTGCTTGCCCCTCCAAAATATGGCACCGGTTGGATGATAAACAAGGTATACATATTATTACCTCGACATTTAGTTGTATGCCGCATCTTTGTTCTTTGTACACATCATTGATAATGAATTAGGTACACGTGACAAAATTAATCATTTTAAAATTATCATTCGTCATTTATATCTCTTCTTTTTCTGCTATAAAATCCAATTAGATGATAAATAAGGTATGTGTATTATTACTTCGACAATTAATTGTATGTCGCATCTTTGTTCACCGTATATACCCATTATCGATAATTAATTAGGTACACGTGACAAAATTAATCTTTCAAGAAGTTAACTAATTTGCATGCTTCGCTTTTTATATGTTGATGCTACCGACATAGATGTAGACGAGGAGTTTAAGAGACCCTCGATTACAATTTATAAGATTATTGATGTCTCTAAAAGATCAACAACCAAATTAATAATCTCGAGCACCAATCTACATAAAGAAAAATAGCCAACGTGTCGCATTGTCTTCTTCATATGTGTTTAAATCATTCGTATTTATCTATAACTTGGAATTTAAGAAAATATACACAGAAATTCAATGAAAAAAACACCATGAAATTATATTTCAATTTCTTAAAAAAAAAAATTGTGTTAGCTGTGTGGTATGTTTGTTCTTAGTAAATAATCAGATTGAAATGAATACCCAGGTGCTTGATTATCTGGAAATGGCGAAGAAAAGAGGTGTACAGCTGGATCGCATTACCAGGGCCAACCGCAACAAGACCCTAATGGACACCCCAATGGAGAAACTGGACACCCCTCAGCTCCTCCAGCTGAAGGCCTCCCTCGAGCTGCTGAAGGCCCAGGTCGAGAACCAAGCCCACATCAAGGCTCAGGCCCACGCCATGGCGCAGGCCCACTATGCTCAGGCCCAGGTCCAGGCCGAGCACCAGAGACAGCAGCAGCAGCTGCAGCAGCTCTACATGAATGCTGCTACTGTTGCTCTGCCGCCGCCGCCACCGGCGGCGGCTGCTCAGCCTCAGCTCCAGCTTGCTGCAGTGGAGAGCAATAACAACAACATGAACAACAATGCTGCTGCTGCTGCTGCTTCTGCGAGTGCCAATCACTTGGAGTTCTATCAGAGGATTATGAATGGCAGCAACCTGAACGGCGGCGGCGGCGTGCAGATCGGCGACGGTTCGGTGACCGTGGCGAATGGGAATGTGGCGGTGAATGGCAATGGAGCTTTTCAGGAGTACCGTCGTATTTGATGACTGATTAATGGGATGGGAATTATGGGGGATTTGGTAATTTGCTTTTGTTGATTTCAGTTTCTTAGAGACGCAGTTTGCTGAACTTTTGTTGCTCCCATTCGCCATTGGCGTATGGTTGAGGTAGTTTGAGGATTGTTTTTAGCTTTTAAGTGTTTGAACTATGCATTTGATTTCTGATTAAGATTTGGTTTAGTTTGTGATATTTTTTTTTTTTTAATATCGAAAAAGCTTTAGTTGAAGTTACTACTTGAGTGATGCTTCAGGGTAGACTAAACTTCGGACTGCTGACTTAACACAACCAATTATAAGAATCGGTAGGATGTGCAGATGAGATAGGTACGAGATGCCAAGACCATCCTACTAGAAGGGTTAAGAGATACCCTCGCCCCGAATGACTGCTATAGGGACTCCATGGCTACCTATGGACCGACGACCCGATCATCAGGGAATTCCGTAGCTCACTATCTGGAGATGAATATTAAATTTTTGGATCGCTCGCACGAATGATGTATCAGTTTGACTACAACCCCTCGTTTGCTTAGAGGAAATGAATAATGAAGTATTAGAGGATAACAAAATTAGAGATCAATCGTCTAAAATCACAAGCAAAATTTGAATGAACTTATACTGCTTCAAATTGTGACACTATGCCTATTCTTTTAAATTGCCGAATTTTAATCGTTTCAAATCTTATTTTGAGAAATATTGAGTTTTTGAATTGATAAAGTCGACCCGCCACTGCGTCCAAACTCACACGGGAAGTTCGGCTTCTTCTCTCCCAAGCAAACCAAACAGAACAGAGAATGACTGCTGCTGCTAAGTCTCCATTTCCATCAGCTCTGGAAAGCACCGCCGCCTCCGCTCTTCTCCTCCTCTCCGCCACCGCCGCCGCCGATCTTGCTTCCCCATCTCTTTCTCCTCTGACTTGCGAAAAGTACAACCGCTTCCGAGTTTCAATTTCGCGTTACGATTGATTTTAGCTGGAACTCATCGATATTCTACTACTGCTTTCCTCGTTTTTGCAGGCCTGATTTTGACGCCGCGTCGCTGAGCACAGGCCGGAAGTTCCCGTCCAAAATCGCCGCTGAGAAGAGCTCGGTTTCCAGCGGTTCCCGATCTTGCATCTCGTCGTCGCCGGAGGAAGTGGCTCTTCCAGCTCACAAGCTCAGGATCGTCGCCTTCCTTGCTCGCGGCCATGACATGAAGCTCAAGGTCATCTCTCCCTCTCTCTCACTTGCTCAATCGATCTTCACTTTCGTTATCTCGATTCCTCTGTTTCCGACGGTTCGATGGAGTCTTCTGTTTGGCAATTCGAATCTCAATTGTAGCTTCGATGTTCACCTGTTTATCTGAATTGAACTCGATTATTTGAATTCAAATTTAGCTCTACCGACTAGAAATCTGCGTTGCTCGAGTTCCAATTTCAAATACTGTTTGGCTGATCAAAATCGCAGATATCTTCAGCTTCTGTTTCTCAGCTCCGATTCTTAGCTCATTTCACTGATTTGAATTTCCGAATTCAGAACTCTAGGAAAATTCTCGTTGATCGCCATTTTATCCCGGATTTTCCTTTATCACTGCTTGTAAATCATTGCTTCTCTGTTTGGGTGCGAATTCTACGGATTCGATTGATCTCTGAACTTGATCGGATGGATTTTCCAATCAGATCAAAGCCTCTTAATCTTCAACACATTGGAATTCGTTCGATACCAAATCTCCAGATTCAGATTGTTTTGCCTGAAAGTAACGCATCGATCACTGGATTAAGGAATTCCGGTATTTCAATTTTTCTCAGGTTGTGCGAAAGAAGCGGTCCAAGGTCTACTGGAGCTCAATTGATCGCAAGGAACACATCCTCAGCTTCCCGGAGGTTTCCAAATCGGCTTCGACAGAGAATTCGTGCCTCTCGACCACTTCCAGCGCCGCTTCAAGCTCCCGGAGCCGATACAGCAGCATCAGAACAGAGTCCAGCTGCGCAGAGAAGTGGAGGAAGAAGCAGTCCAGCACCAGCTCCATATCTGGCTCGACTCACATGAAGCAACAAGCCGAATCAATCCTGAAGCTGCTCTCTCGCGGCCCTTTCTCAGAAGTCAGGATTCGGCAACTCCTTGGTGACAGTCCTGACACAAGCAAAGCCCTCAGAATGTACTTTTCTTCTCTATCTCTCTCTGTCTCTAGCCCTTGGAAGCGATAATGCGACCGAGCTCGTAACCTGTTTGCTCCCCATTGTTTGTTCCGGTTGCAGGCTGCTGAAGCGAGAGGAGGTTAAGAGATCAGGAAGCGGAGGGCGTCAGGATCCTTATATTTACAAGGTAAGCACTTGCAACCTTTTTGTGATGGAAAGTGTGGTGGTGGCTATGGCGAGTTATGAATATGGGAAAATGATGCCCTTTTTCAGGTAGCTTGAGCTTGGCAATGGCGTCCCACGAGGAAGGGTTTATGATCAATCTCTATATATACAGGTACATGTAGAGTTAAATAGGAAATTTGGCAAAGTCGTGGCCATTATTGTAGTGGTATATATATGGCCAATTACCCATACTATATAGGGTCTAAACTCTAAAGCACATATTTTGTGTATTCTTTCACTGTTCTTCTCCACAGTTCAGTTGAAACATAATAGTCTATGTTCATGTTTATTTGTGATCATGTTCATTCAGTTATCAGATATATATATACTTTGCACCATGAATCACAGATAGGCATACTTGAAACAACATTGCTTGCAGATCATCAACATCAAACAACACACTCAGTACTCAAACCCGCGAACTGCTACGACTTCTTCTAACATCAAACACATAGTTAACAAACATACTTCTTTCCTATCAACAAGGATCACAAAAGTTTTAAGCTCATGACACAAACATGCATATAGAATGGGAAGGAGAGAGAGGGTAATGTGCAGTCAAGAAATTTCAATCCTCCTGGTTGGATGGTTTGGGTTTCACTGTCTTGTGTTGGAGCTTCTTCTGATCATGGAACGCATTCGATCCGTACTCGCAGTGTTCAACAGGAGGGTGGATGATGTCTTTCCGACAGTAGATGCAACCGTTGCGGTCACCACCTACATGAAGCAACAAAACGAGCATCAAGATAATCTCAATCATCAATCTACATACACACAGACAAAACGATGATGACCTGATAAAAAACGTACTTACCGGATGCAAAAGGATCCACTCTGACACAATTCAGAACCCGGGAGCCTCCGCCAAGGTACTGTACTGCCTCGCCGAAAAACAGGTCACTAGACTCACTGCTACAGGAATCGCTGTTTACCTCCTTGGCAGTGAAGTTGGCGTGGAGTATTACCACAGGGTGAAGGAGAATGCAGCGGCAGAGGAAGGGCTCATCAAACACATACTTCGTCCCCTGTTCGTCGAAAATCGATTCGATGAAGGTGAGGTAACAGGTAAGCATTCCACCCAATTTAATGGAGAAATACGAAAAAAGTACTGAACCAAACCCTAATATATATACCTCCTTCTCGTTGTAGAGCTCCAGAGCTGCTCCCGCAACGTAGGCGCTGTCCCTTCTCATCAGTTCTTCATTGTCCGGCGGCGAACTACAACGTGAGGAATAGGACATTAAAGCAGATAATAGAGGCAATTAGGAATTAGAACAGAGAACATAAACGTGAATTACGACGACACCCACTCTAATTCAGCACCCAGGTACTTGAGCATCTTCTCATAATGTCTGCTTGCAGGATCGACTCCAATCACTGGGTAAGGAGACGACGGATCGCCCAATGGAAAGGAGCATGAGGAGGATAATGGCGGCACCGACGGCGGCTCTGCTTCACCGGCCTGCCGCTGCGGCGGCGGCTGCGCATACTGATGATCAGGTCCGCCTTCCGTCTTTTGCTTTTTGGGTGAAGGAGGTTCTTCCATCGTTTTTCTAGGTCTTTTTCTCCTCTCGCTTTCTCGAAGGTTACTTTTGTTGCCGACGTCCTACGTGGCACTTGCTGACGCACGAATAACAAAAACATCTAAAGAGGATAACGCATTAGCGGCCCAGTAACGAGCCCACACTCCTTCGGGAGCAAGAGATCAAGTTGGCCACAGCCCACACTTCATCGAAATTTAGCAGGCCCATAAACTTTGGGATCATTTGGTTATGGTTGTGAAACCGGTTTAATCAATTCAGCGGTCAAGCAAATGGTTTGACATTTAATGATTGGATCCGAATTCAATCAATTTCCGAACTACTATACAGTAATTTAACAATTAATTTTGATTTGAAACTTAAAACCTCCATATATATACATGCTTCATTTTTCGGAATAGACTTTGGGAGGGGGGGACAAAATGAACATTTTGTCTAAGAATAAAAAATCGGTCAGACCACCGAGTTTTGCGATTTTGACAGGTTATGAGCCATTTTCAGCACCGGATTCTGATCGGATATGGTCCAACCAGCCTGCTTGAGTACTGCTTGACGAGAATGGATTGGTCCCATTATTGTTTTGATAATATCGTTACAATGTTTATATTTCTAGAATACATTATTTTCTGCTTTTATGCACACACAATATATTCAATATCGTTAAAAAAAAATATTTTTCAAGTCAATCTGCCAACCGATTAACATGCATCATTCAATAAATATGTAGCCTAATTATCAACGTACATGGTATATAGCAAGGCCCATGCATGGCATGCAATCTTGGCAGAATGTGCATTATAAAATCAACCAACCCAAAACAGCTGCAGGTGGCGGACCTTGATTACCAGTCTAAACCCTAAATAGAATGATCAAGAAAGAAACCCTATTGGAAAAAATTCTAACTGCTCGTGGATTAATCGAAGAGCACAAAACACAGAATTAAGATCTTCCTGTACAGAACACATATGGGTTCAAGCTGATAAAAGAAAGAGAAGATTACCACTTAGCAGTTCATATCCTTCGATTCTTGAACCTCTCAATCGATCATCATCACATACAGGTTCGTGGGCGATCCTCGACTTCTCGAATCGCTTCAGTTCGACCCTTCACCCGAAAAAGCGTGATCTGCTTAACACCATTCCGCCTCCGATAAACCTCGGCTTGATACACCTTGGTGGAACCTTCAGGAGGATCAGAGGAAGACAGAGTGTCCGTGGCCCTGAACGTAATGTAGTAGTTTATGCCATTGACAAGCGCGTAGTTGGCCTTCTCAATCTCATCAAGCCGCAGCTCCGACACCTAAAACAACACACCACATCGATACGTATCGATTCAGCTAACGAAGAACAAATCGAAGACACAATCGAAGAGGGGTCCGAGAGGATTCAAATTACCCCTCTGTTTTCTGCATTGTGCTGCTCAATCACGAATTTCACGCATTCCCTGACTTTCGGGCCGTCGTCGTCGTCATCCATGTCGACGGGCAGAACCCCGTACTCGAGGATGTCCACCGGAGGAACTTCGTCGAAATCAAATCCCTAAAGCGCGAATTTCAATTTAACAGGAAATTGAAGACGAGAAGAAGTGAATTAAGATATGCAGTTGCCCACTGCGCACCTCGCTTTCCGCAATCTGCTCGTAGAAGAGGTCGAGCTTCTTCCGCCCTTCCTCGTCTTCAGGGTACCAGATTACAGGCGTCGACGGCGTCTGATTCCAGACCGCGGTATCGGAGGCTTCTTCTTCTTCCTCCTCTTCATCCTCGTCGCTATCACCAGCATCGTCGTCGGGGATTTTGTCGGCGGTGGTGGCTTCGTCGACCTTCTGCCTCTTTGGCTCCGATCCGAGTTCGGTTTCTCTGGTGGAGGATTTTGGATCGGAGCCGAAGCTCGTGAGATTGGGATCCATGACTGGGGAAGGATTGGGACAGAGTAGCTAGAAGAAACCCTAGAGAGGGAGAGACGCCAACGGAATTTGGGGATTTCGATTTGTGTTCGTAAACTGCGGATTTTTCTCTTCGTCCCTTTCTTGGTTCTCACGCATGTTATAACTCCGGCTCAGGCCCACTTTGTCCAGGCCCATCCTCTGGCTCAGGCCCATTGGCGCTCTGTTCTTTTCGTCAACCGTTGTTTGACTTGTTTCGAGGCTGTCAAAGGCTGGCTGGCGAGCGTGCAGCTTCTTCTTCTCTCATGGGAGTTGGGTTGGGCCTGATTTGAAGGAATACCTAAACCAAGCCTAGCCCATTTTAACCGTGGGTGTTGGCTATATCTTATCTCCTTCTTGTTTTCTTGCTCTTTCATTGAAGTTTTACGGATAGTTTGCTTCGTATATTTGAAAAATAAAGGTTTTGATAAATATAAAGAAAAGTAAGAAACTCACTTAAAGATATGGACTATTAATTATACGAACGTTGCGAAAATGTAAGGGAATGTTGTTCTTCATCCTAGAGAAAACTTTAATGATAGCTTTATTTCTGGCGTATTATTAGAAATTTTGATGGTCTAAATGTTGCATTTTCGATTCATAGAGAACTTGGTGTGCGTAAACGGTATAAGATTCATGCCCAAATCAAGTTATTTGAAATGAACCAATTTGTAGGCCATCCAAACAAGAGGGTGGCTCGTCATGTGATCTACAAAATCCTTGCTTTAGATCTCACAATTGTGGCTGGTTTTAATTTTGTGTTTGTTATGGGGTTCGTAACAAAAATAAATAGAAAACACTTACCTCCTAATTCAACTCAATGGCGGAACCAAAAAATTTAATAAGAACAATTATTTAAATCGTGGTAATTGGAGAGTGGATAAATTCTTACCGACTAGTCTATTTTCTTAAATTTGTTTCAAATTATAATATTGTAAACTTGCCCTTCAAATTTCAACTTAACTCCACCACTCATTTAGCGTAATAGAATTTTATTTCAACAAACTCATATTTTTATCTCACAACCCAACCTAATTAGCATCAAATGTAACCTAATCATGATTAGGTCATATAAACGCACATATAACGTACCAAGCCATGCATGGCAATTGGCATGCCATTTTTTCATTATTTTTTGGCAGAATGTGCATGCGTGATTCGATCATTACTAAGCTCACGTGAAACCCCTATACGATTACATATAATAATAAAAAATAGTGCAAAGTGGTTGGTGGTGGTGGACCGTCCGATAATGTTCTTTCTCCCTTTTTAAATTCTTTGTGCCATGATCGATCCTAGGTTTCTTGAAACATACAAAAAGGTTACATTATTTAAGTGGCGGGACCTTATAGTTCGCTACCTTTATTGACAAATGTTCGTTTCCTTTTGGTTTTATGCACAAGTAGTACCACACTACCACTACAAAGGTATGTCATGTCCATTTCAACGTTACCCCACTTCCCAACCCTCCTTGTCATATACAGTACTGGATATTGTTTACCCAAAGTTGGAAGTTAGACTTTAAGGGATCATGCTATGAGTATGGCTGGAATCGGTGTGTTGCGGTTAATCGCACCGAAATTTACGGTTAATCGCAACAGGAACGAAGTTATATACGCCAACCGCGATTGCACCACCAATGGTTTGCGGTTAACCACTAAGCAAAAGTGTGATTAATGGTTGATCACAGTTAATCGTGTTACTAACAATTCTTATGGTTTGTGGACATTTTGGTCTATGGTTGTGTCACTGTGTCACGGTTAAGCACACTAACCGCATTAGTAATCGGTTAAAATGCGATTACATGTTGTTCGATTATAGTTGCGGCTAACTCGAAAATCGCAAAACATGCAATATTGCTAACCGAGTTATTGGAATAGCTCCATGTATGCATCTAAACCAATTCCTTACACACCTCTTCAGACGAAAATCAACTCATGGGAAGTTTGCACATGTCTCGTCATACCATGAGGTTTAAAACACCAGTTGATGTTGGGGGTCATGATAAGGACTTCAACACCTGATCTCGAGGACAGATTAGCTCTGATACCATTCAATTAACCAACGAGTCCCAATAACTCAAATTGTTAGTAAAATGTTCATATATACTTATTTTAACCACTTCATTACCTTTGTGCCAACCCCAATCCGAATATTGAATAACTAGTGAATGACTATATATTGGTTAGAACCAAAAATTCATAAGAAATTAACCAAATGTTCCTATACGTACCTTTGTCCACCGACCAGCCATTCTCGTTACGAGATTCATTAATTGTGATGGATTATTTTTCAGACGAACATTTTGCAAGAATCATTCGACGGGAAGATGATTTTTGTCTCTTGAGGGCCATGTGACTCGCTCGAGAGTATGGATTCCTAATTCCTATGCATTCTTCATTTTGAGTGCGGCTTGGATTTGTATTCTTGATTTTGTCATAGAATTTCTTGTATAATTGTACTCCAAAGAATGGTCGGAATGAAGTTAGTACGTAATCGTATTTAAGAAGAAGTCTTTACATAAACTTACGTGCATATAATATAGCTAGCCATGCATTTGCATTGAATGCATTGTTTCCATTTGTATGGGAAGTGTCCATTAATTGCATGGTTTCGTTATGCCTCACGTGCCAACCATATTATGTTACATTTATTTCCTTGCATGTCATGCATTCACAATAGATCAAGTGGACCAAGGAAAAGCGTAGTAATCCGTTTCAATTAGACAGATTTTACGTACAACAAACAGTCACTCGATCATAGTTATAATTCGTACATTTTCCTTCTTTCAATTAGTCAACGTATAATACTTCATTTTTAAAATGTACCATCTAATCTTACAGCCATCATCTTGCCCTATCTTGTCAAGATTTAAGAAACCCTACCATACCGGTTGTTCATACCGGAAATATCAAATTTCGAACCCAAAATGATAGGCCATTTTAGCAGTAGGAAACAGTTGGACTACGGTTAAACCGCGATTTTAGTACAAAATAGGCTACCTCTCACATTTCCGAGATAATATCAGGTACGATTTCACGGTACTTGTATCTTTGCACAACTTTAGTTTAGAGACTAACAATCTTGGATTGGAAAATGAAAATGCACAACATAAATAAAAAAGATAATGGGTCATGTAAAAACGTGACCATAAAATGGGAAAGTGATTGCAAATGAAAAGAAAGACAAAAAGAAAAGCGAATCGAGATGTGGATTAACAAATGAAGCAGAGAAATAAAAATGAAAAAAAAAAGGTAAATTAACAAAAGCTTACCCCTTAAAAGGCAGCAGCTGGATTTTCTCGCTTCTCGCATCCCGAAGT